GACCTGATTTTAATGGAACTCTAGCAACAATCAGCCATTGCACAGGACCCGATGATACACTTCTTCTCAGGGTACAAGGCCTGCAGGATCATAGGTGTAAAGCCCCACAGGGAGAAATTCCAAGGCACTCTAGACCAGGAGATGTGGGTGCAGCAAGGGCACCTCTAAGGACCTATTTCCAGGTTACTTTTGTTGGTCCATACCTTATTTTAAAATCCAGAAAAGATTTCAGGTTCTTCATACCTGCCTCTTCATTGCCAATGTGGAACTAAACCATGAACAACAACATGGCAACAAGGAAAAGCTGTTTATTCCAAGAGCTTGCTATTGCAAGGCAGTCAGTCACCTTTGTTTGTGTTGTGGTAAAGACTTACACCAGGCTGAGTAAGGAAGCTTTTAGAGGAAAAGACAGAAGCTGCTGGTGTGTCTGGATTAGAACATGTTGGCTTGGGAGCTGCAAGCAGAAGACCTACAAGTGGGACATCCACGCAGGTGGATGCATATTTGCCTTTCTCCAGTTGTCCTAGGTTGGAACTGAAGGCACAAATTAGCAGAGCTGCCCAGTTATTCACCAAGCCCAAACCATTTGGAGTGATGGTTTCAGGGGGTTATTGCTTCACTTCACAGGCTGTTACTGGAGATGACAGTCCACATTCCTACTGGTCTGACATGTGGCCAGCTGGCTCCCTAGGCTGCTCCTTGCAGCCCATAAGTGAGTTTTCTGAGTAGGGGTTGCTGGTTTGGTGGGAGGTCAGCATTGTATTTTTATATATGGTCTGGACATTCTCTAATGTCTAGTCTCTCTCCCAGCATGCAACTTAAGAGGGATAAGAAGGAGATACTATTAGCATTCTCCAAAAGTTACTAACTTGACTTTTCTCTTTGTCAGTTGGATTCTTTAAAATTAGAGAAAAGTTAGTCTTTAAAATAGTAAAGAGTGCTGAAGCACAAAACTAGAGATTACTTCCTCTCCTCCAGCCATGTGTCCACTACACAATGCAGGAAGGCAAGGGCGTTGTTCATCTTCTTGTAGTAGGAAGAGGGCTTGGTGACTTCTGAGCTGTTGTGGTGATTATAAACTTTACTGTATTCTAAACATGAATAAATGCAAAGGTAGTAATAAAATGCCTACATTTGACATCATGGTATACAAACACAGGTATTGTGATTTTTGTGTTGTTTATAATTAAATAACTCGTGGTGGGCCATAAAACATGGGATCTGTTAAAGGACCCAAACCTTAACCTGAATGGAAATGTCATTTGACCTATCCATAAGGAAAGACCCTGGGTGACAGACCCTGAGTGTCCTCTGACTATGCAGGTTAGACACTTAAATGTCACTACTGGGAGGACCTGCAGGGGTCCAGCATACTTGGTGCCATTCATGCAGAACCTGAAAACATTGTTGGTTCATTTGCATAGGAAAGCACAAAAAGCCATCAAGTTTAATAAAAGCATGATTTACAATTTTATTTGTAAATTAACTGAAATATGGTTTATGATGTATGAATTTTCAACTCAGTGTGTTTCCAAGTTTCAGAATCCTGGTTAAACCAGAACATGTTTTGGGAGACACTACTTTAATTAGGCTTTGGACCTCATATACCTCAAAATACAAAGACACAGTGACAATGGTCAATTATCCAAGAATTTCCTGTTTTGTCAGTGGAAGCTGTTTGCTTCTTTCCTGGTGCTGCTGTATCTGCTGTAAGGGGAGCAAGATTTTTGCAGCCACATGTAAATGAAAAGTATTCTTCAGAGTTCCTCTAGACTAGGTCATGCAGTAGTTTAACGAATGACATGATTTCATATTTGGATGTTGTAATCATTGAAATTAGTGTAAGTGGTCTCTGTCCACATTCAAGGAGGCATATATTATTTGTTGCATTTGGCTGTCTCTGGATAAGTTAGTGCCAGGAATGAACTACCAGGAAGGTGTAAATCAGGACAGCAGTATGCAGGAGACCTACGGAAACTTAAGATCTGCCCCAGTCAAACCTTGAATTAGGATAACCCAAGTGTGTGATTTTTTTTTTAAGTTAAATTAAAGCTGCTCGCTTCCATGAAATAAAAAAGTGGCATAGTATTTACTGTGTGTGAACCCAAACCTGCAGAATAAGTGGTTGGATGCATCAGGAGCTCAAAAGTGCTCATCAAAGGTCAAGAACATAATTTTTATTTAAAATTTGAGCCTGTATCATATCTAAAAATTTCAGGATAATATTTAACATTCCAAAAAAGTTACTTTGACAGGACCTCTTGAAAGTCAAATGTACAAACCAGCCACTGATTTTTCTGTTTATAATTTCTTCTCTCTCTAACACCACCAGTGACTCTGTCACCACAAATACCCTATCATATAATCATGTGCACCCAGATATATTTTTGTCTGGCCCTGTTCAGATCCTGTGAAAATAAGCTTGTTTGTCTCCTTTCCATCCTACAAATCTTAAACTGAAGACTCATGTCTACTGGCCACACTTTCCCTCCTCAGCTTTCAGACTTAAATATTCAAGTTCAGAAATGAGTCAAATACTATCCTCTGCTTTGAGGAAATCTAATGCCCTCTACTTGAGGTTTTCTAAGGCCTTAAACTGCTGGTCTACATGGGACTTTTTAAAAGAGATTTCTTGAACCCTTTCCCCCTTTCCCTGACTTCCATAGCATTACACTCCCAGATGACCTTTTTTAGGTCCTTCTTTGACCCATTTCTCTTTATTTCCATCCCTTTCTGTTTATTAATCTCTGGAGTTCTGTTCTTGACAGGTCATATTTGAAACTTGTGTAGAATAAATTGTCCCATGGGCCCATGGGAATAAAATAATCTAGTAACATCTTGTGCAGGATAATATTCAAAATAAAGATTTTCCTTAAAAGTGCATGAAGATGTCCATGAGTGCCTAGGGACTGGGTCAACTCACTTCAAAGTCAATTCTCCAAGATCTTGATGCCCTTCAGTGAGGTCTTCAAAAAGAGTAAGCAGTCTGGCCCTGTGGTATAGTATGGGAATTTGAGACATTTTGTTTTACTCAAGAATTACAAGACTCTACAAAAATGAAATTTAATCACATGTGTCTATGATAAGCCAGAGTATCTAGTTGAAATGTAGGACATGTAAATTTACTAAAGTCTTTACTATTGCTGAACATCTTATTGAATGTTCTTGTCAGTTGGTTAACAATGTAACAATTAGTACAAAAAGCAGTCTTCTTTTAATTACCTATGATAACTACAGACCTATTTCTACAGTCCTTTTCTTCCAGAGGTACTCAAGGTCCTTCCTTTATGTTTAAGACACTTATTATCTGAGTTTCAGTACATGGCACAACTGTCCTGATGATGCTTTCTTCTTTTTTTAAAAAAAAGCTTGAGACAATGAAAAATCAAGCCACAGAATGGGAAGGAGGTATTTTCAAAATACATACCTGATAAAAAGAGGCTCAGTCATGTGCCATTGAGAACTGCAGATTAAAACATCCATGAGATACTGTTGCTCCTATTCAAATACACTATTCAGAGTTGCTGAAGTCCCAGGACACTGACATCATCAAATGCTAGTGAGGATATGGAGCCGCTGGAACTCCCCATCATTGCTGATGGAAATGCAAATGATGCAGTCACTTGCAAGCACACTTTGATATTTTCTTACAGAGTTATAACACGAGGCTTACCTTTTGATCTATCCATCACACCCCTGGGTATTTGTAGATTGAAAACGTATATTCACATAAAAACCTTGCTTATGGGTGTTCATAATAGCTTTCTTCATAACTGTCAAAAAAGTTGAAAGTAATAATTGAGATCTATTTCAATAGAAGAAAGCATCAACAATTGATGATATAACAGAGTATTACCCAGCAGAAAAATGAAAGGAACTGCTGTGCCCCTAGAAGACATGGTGGTACCTTAAATATGTAGTAGTCTACTTTCTATCATTATAACAAAAAACTTAAGATATTAACTTAAAAAGAGAAAATTTGTATTTTGGCTGGGAATTTTAAAGGTTCTAATCTGTGATCAGGCAGACTCAGCACTTTGGGCTTCTAATGGGGGTGACAAATGGCAATGGGGGATGCATATGGTGAAGAAAAGTGTCATCTGATGGCCAGGAAGAAAAAGAAAAGACTTTCTTTTGGGCCAGGGTCCCAAATTCCCCACCAGGGCCCCAAAGTCCCCTCAAGGGCCCACCTTTGACAACCTATGGAAATCTTCCAGAGTCTCACATCTTAAAACACTACCTCCTTCAAACAGTACTACCCCTGGTAACAAGTCCTTTACACAGGTTTCTGGGAACATTCCATACCCAAACTGTAGCAAATACCTATTTTTGAGTGAAACAAATTGACCTGAAGGGTTGCATACACTGTATGACTCCAACTGTGTAGTATCTGGGAAACATAAAAAGCACAGACTTAAGCAAAGATCCAGTTTCTGGAGGCTTTGGGGAAAGGGAAGGATAGATTAGTGTAGCATAAGGGATTTTCAGGGCAACGAGAAGAGACTGTATGACACTGTGTGATGCCATGGTGCCTATGTGGTCATGCATGGCACAGTCCTGATTCCAGATGTGGACTTCAGGTGATAATCATGTATATTCAATATTAGTTGTTTTTCTAGAAATCTAAAGCTACTCTAAGCTTTTTAAAAAAATCTTGTCTAATGAGTTTTGTTTGTAGGAACAAAAACAAAATAGTAACCATAAAAATTTCCAGTCCATTCAGAGCAAATCTCTGTTCAGGCACTGAAACAAGGTGAGAGTGACATCTACAACTAGATGTGGTGTTTTGTCAAGCTCTGAGTTTGGTTGTCCAGCATTACACTAAATCAGAGTCTTGTTCTTCTTGTGGGTGTGTTAACTGCTGGATAACCAGTAAACAGCTGAACATTTCATGACTTATATGTCACATCATGTCACATCAGGAAGTGGGGCTCAAAACCACCTCTCTCACAATCCCAAATGTATCTAAGCCTTCACATGCCTTTCTCCTCTCCTTCCAGGCCTTGCTATTGCCAGTGCCCTGATAGATGTTTCACAACAGAAGCCTTCCGATAATAAAGACAAGACTTCCGGAGTCCGGAATAGAAAACACCTCTCCACACGTCAAGGAACTTGTGTCTGAGGAAGGAAACCAACTTTGTACTGGTTTACTCTGCAGATGACTTCTGCTAAAGCTGTTCTGTGCCTTTGGGTTTTATAGAGGCCAATCTCCTATAATCCAGGGCTCAAGTACAGTTCTCTCTAAGTGGGCAATGTCCCAAGTGGCCAAAGAATGTTGATGAGTTTTTATAAAAGTAACAGTGTTGTTGGTCACCAGTAATAAAGTCAGTTTTTATGGCTATCTTAGGCTTATAGCTTACATTAACTTACTATGGAAAAAAGATGTATATTGTTTCTTAATGCAGATGAAAATATGTAATTCGTATAAATCAACTGTTTATATCCCAAGACTTTAAAGACAGACGTTTTATAATGCCTGAATGATGAGACATGTACAGTTTTTGCCTCATTAGTAAACTTAGGTCACCTGCATGTGAATAGGAAATGAACAAATCACGACGGCTTTAAATGCTGTTTTGTCTCATTGTAAATGTGAAAGCAAGGTTTTGATCTGATAGGATGCAGGTCATGTGCTTTAACACTCCATGTGACCACCTGGTATCCAAAGTCAATTTGAAAATGCAGCCCAGACCAGTCCATTTGGATGGATGTGTACAACTTCTCAGGAGGTTTATTAGAATTCTGAGTGTGGCGGACATTCCTGTTGTCCACACCAACTGCCTAACTCATTATCAGAGCTGATAGAGCTTGGACAGAAGCCTGTCCAGCAATCAGTTTTCCCCTCCTTCCACAAACAGCCTCAGTACCACCTGAAGGGAGCTGCAGTAATTCTATAATATACAAGCTTCTGCCCCAATCTGGCAATTTTTTTTTCAATTGCCTGGGAATCATCATGCCAGTCCCAAGTGATCTATCTGCATCTTTATAAGAACCTATCGTTCTCTTCGGGCCTTTCTCCCCTATGTTAGATTTTATTTGCTTTTTACGACCTTTGGAGAATGTATTCTAAAGGTAACCTTCCAAGTTCTTTGTTACCACCTGTTTTGCCTAGAACACAACCAGAGAAGAGCAGGGTCTGGCAAGCACCAGCAAAATCCCTGTTTCCAACAGTCACACTGGTGTCATGGGAAGTCTGCAGCTAAAAAATAAGTTCATCGTTGGCCACATTCAGAACATTCTTAATGATGCAAAACCCTGAATTTTGGCAGAAAGGAAAAATAAAGTGACTGCTTTCACATTGGAATGTCCAATCATTTGTGTCCTATAATCAACCAACAACAGCTCACTGAAGTGCAGCCGTATTAACAGCCCCAGTCTGGAACTGCCATTGTTAACTTCAGGGTGAAGAACAATGAACAAGATATCCAAAGCTGCTGTATACTATATAGTTTTGTTTAATAGGAAATCCATTTAAATCTAATCGATGTTTAGTACTATATATGTACTTTTCATGTTCTTTGGATTTCTGGAAGGTAAAAACATCCTACAGTTAAAGCCTAGTTACTTGCATGCCATGGTTGTACAGTAGCAGATTATGACCCTATTGCAATATTAAATATTTATTTCAAATGCCATGTATACATAGTCAGCTGAATTTGATGAGGATTGGATGTGATATGTAACAGAAATGACCACAGAATATGTAGCTACATCTCATAAAACACTATTAGGTTGCATCTAACCATGACTGTGTCATTATTTTTATAATTAGGTATATGAATATAGTATATATTCCTTATGTTGGCATGATAATTTTGCTATTTTCCATGAACTAAAAATAAGACAAATTTGTAGAATAGTTTTAGTCATTTTCTCTACAGCCTGTGGGGTTTGAGTGGGGGCAGAAGGGCTAATTCTTACCTCCCAGGACATTCTCTCTCAGAAAAAGTTAAACAAGTTTGTAAATGTCTCCTAAAACAATCAAGTAATTCAATCAGTGTCTTTTTGGACACTTCACATGTTGATTTTTCTCATGAAATAATAAATTGGCAAGACTGGTGACCATACCAATATTATTTTAAAATAAGTAATTGTCCAATTTGTTCAATCCTGTAACAGTTGTCACTAGAGAAAGCTTATAGAACAAAAGTACAAGATCCAGACTTGTCTGTAAGCTCTGTCTCAGCTATATATTTACAGAGGCTCACCAAATAACATTACTGTGGAAGAATTGTCCGGTTCCATCCACCTTGCAGCCTACTGGGTTCTTAAAATTTAAAAATTTAAGTTTTAGAGAATTATACTTAATGCAATGTTAAAGTCATACTATACCTTTCTGGGCCAAATATTGTTAACTCTGGCCAGTTACACAATATATTCTCAAGTTATCGAATCATTTCCTGGAAATAAAATTCTTCACTGTCAGGTGAAGTGAATCAAAGAGGATCATCACTCCGCATCTGTGTCCTGTCCCTCCCACCCCACATGTGTCCCTAATGTTTTAAAGTCAGACTGTTTCATTTTATTTTAATCAAACCATGTATATACACAGATGCTTTCTGAGCAGTTAGTGGCTCAAATAATGAATTCTCTTGAAAACCTACTTTAATGGAATTCTGAACATGTCAGTGTAGATCGACTTGGGAAAATCTTTAGAATTTAGGATTTCTTACACTGCCAAGTATGAAAACTTTTGATTAACTAGAATGAAATTTTAAAAATTAACTTGAGGACACTGTTTGGAAAACTAGAAAATTCCTGGTAAAAACACAGTGTGCTTATATTTATTGGTTAATTAGTTAATTGTAAGAGAGTTAAGAGTCTCATAATTGTTTAATTGAAGGAAAAGCTGAGAGATGCATAGAGATTGGTGCTGCATTCTATAATTGTGTGTGTGTGTGTGTGTGTGTGTGTAAGCATCTATATGCAGGGGTAAGTACATGTGTGTGTATGGAGGCTAGAAATCAAACCAGGTGTCATTCTCAATCATTCTCGTGATCATTTTTTTTTTTTTAATTAGAAGATCTCTCACTGAATCTGGAGCTTGCTGATTTGTCTAGACTGACTAGCCAGCGAGTCCTCGGGATCCTCCTGTCTCTGTCTCCCCAGTGCTGGATTGTAGGCACCAGGCAAAATAGATTGCAGGCTATTTTTTTTAATGTAGACTCCAGAGAATTGAACTCAGGTTCTCATGCTTACATGGAAAAACACTTTTCCCTCTGAGCCATCTCTGCTGCATTCTATTCAGTAAGAAAACGTTTTCATTAGAACATCCATGTAATCCTTGCTATACTTTCCAATGTCTTGTTTTCTTTAGGCATTAGTGAGGCAGAGGTGCCCGTGTGACTGGTGCCCATACCATGGGGTCATTTAGAGAACATTTTGGTGGGCAGACTGGGTACTACTTTAAGATATATGTGTGTGGTGCTGGGCAAATTTCAAAGGCCCAGCCCTTCCACCTGTAGTCAGGGTGGTCCCCACTGTAGAGGTACTGTGATCCTCAAAGACAAGATTTCCCACGTCAACACCCAAGGCAGCATAACTGGTATAACCGTGGGATTACCAGGCCGCTTCTCTCTTCTCATTTGATTTATGAATTCATCTTTTAATTTTTAATGCATCTTTCCAAGTTAAGGTTTATATAAAAAGGCTTCCTAATCTGAAGTTCCTGTACTTCTAGGATATATTTTCCACTACCACCTTGATATTTGGGTCAAAAGAAAGAACTCTGGTTATTTCTAAATCAATCCAGTTTAGTGGAGACTTTTTCAAATAACTCCTTGATGACATTTAAATAGAAACACCAATGTTTCTGTCACAAACTAGGCAAGAAGCAGTGAATGCTTGCCTTGTGCTGCTGTATGTGACATCTTTTTCAGTGAGCATAGAACTATGACTTGAAATAGGTTTGATATTTTTAAAAAGACCTTGAAAGGTGACCAAACTAATTCTACCCACCTACACTTTTTACCAAACCCACTTCTAAAATGCACTTGCTGTTTACCAAGGATGAACTTGGCACTTGTTTGAGCATAAGAATTATCCCAGTTAGAGCAGATTCCCAGCTTCAGACTCAAGGACTGGGGTGGCCTGTAGGACAGTCTGCTCGATAAGCTCCTCAGGGACCCTTACCAATAGACAAAAGGACACATGACCCTGGGCCTGAGAGTTTCCTGTGTCTGTAGTTAGAGGAAGTTCTTTAAATATTGAATTCATCACTCTAATTCCAAATGCTTTGCATATTTTCCAAGGACTCCAAGCCATGTGGTTGGTGCTCAGTGTTTTCCTTACAGTACACATGTAACGTTTTTTGGTTTTACCTAAGTTTTAAATTAAGAGTTATGACTGTAGCTCCTTTCAGTATATATGTGTATAAGTATGCATACCCATGTTAAAAACATATTGTGGGAAAGTTCAAATCCAATTTTAAAAGCCAGCATTTTAGAATATAATGTGCTGTTGATCAGAACTCTAGTTATTGAAGTAAAAACATTGGCCCCTCCATCCACCAAATGCAGGATGTATGTGTGGCGGGGGGAGGCGGGTTGGTTTTGGTTTTTTGAGAGTCTTGCTGTGTGGCCCAGGCTGGCTTCAAACTTGCAATTGCTCTGCCTCCTGAGTGCTAAGATGATAGACAGGCGCACTACACCCAGCCTTTGTGTTGTTACCCTTGTAAGAGCTTGTAGCAAAAAGCAGAAAGGCCCCTCCAAGTGGAAGACTTGATTATGAAATGTGTGTGGTTGAATTGCCACATTCAAAATACAATTTCTCCCCTTCCCTCTTCATATTTTCACTGAACTTTTCTCCGCAGGCTCATTGAATCACATGCTGAGCACTTGACTTTTCCTGAACATAAAAGGTTGTGCTCATGAGAGGCCGGGCAGCTAGGATTCCAGACTCATTGAGGATCTGTGCCCTTGGCCTTGTGTTTCATGTTTACATTTCCTAGTACTGGGACTTTGCACATTCTAAGGCAAGTGTTTTGCCACTGAGTTGTATCTCAGATTCCCAGGGTCTCACTAAGTTGCCTAGACTGACCTTGAACTGAAGACCGCCTCCCCCCTTTCAGGCTCCCAAGCAGCTGGTTTTACAGATCTGTGCTTCCAGGCTGGGCAAAGCCTCCCCATTCTTTGGCAAGTGTTGAATTTAGTCCCTTGTGACATTCTGGGCCTTGTGCTCTGCCAAGCTTCAGGCAGGCGTTAGGAAACAGCAAAGTTAGAAGGACCCACAAGCCCCTCTTCCTTCCTGCTCCACAGAAAGATCAAGTACCTGTGGGGCTGAAGAGATGGCTCAGTCAGTTAAGTGCTTGCCATGCAAGGATGAGGGCTTGAGTTTTATTCCCAGTACCCACATAGAAAGCTGAGTGTAGTGTTGATGCACTCTGCTGGTGACTTAGAAACAGGCAGATCCTTGGGGAATAGGGAGCTCACTGGCCCGCCAGTAAACCTATAAATTATTTGTTTAAGGTGGACAACTCCTGCGGAACAACACCCAAGGTTGACTCTAGTTTCCACACATACAGGCACAGATTTGTGGGTAAATCCCCATGTAAACATGTACACATACCTGCACAGACAGGAACTTGGTTCCTGAAGTGGGTGGAGGAGCTGAGGTTTGCACGCTGGAGTCCCTTCCTCTTGAAATGACACGGCAGCACCTGCTGTGTGAGCCTCTGGGCCCTTTTCAGCTTTCTGATGGTGGATTTATGGCTGGATGCAGATTTGAAGATTTTTGTCTCAAACTGATTTTAAGGAATTTTTCTCCTAGAAATGTGAGTGGCTAATGTGAGCCCTAGGCATTCTGTCAGCTCTGTCCCGTAGCCCTCTGAACACACACAGACCCCCCTGTCAAGTCCACGTGCTTCCCCACATGTTTAGCATCTGCGTACCTGACACAGCCACAGTAGCCAAGCTTCAACAGGTGGTATCACTGGTTTGCTTCCCAAATGGGAAACCACGGTGTCATTTTGAATGAGCTATAAACTAGCACTTTAGCTCTACTTCATTTTCACCTGCCTGCTTCCCAGCCCTACACCTTTCATTGAGAAAATAAGTCTCCCCCTTTCACAGACTGGGAGCAGTTCTAATTAAGATACTGAATCCTCAAAGTATACCGCAGAAGCACTGGACTCTTCACCAGCACAAAATTTGACTGCTGCTGCTCTTGGCAACAGTGGTGTTTTCACTCAGTGGCTGTTGAAGCTTAAGCTTCTTTACACGAGCTCACGAAGGAGGCAGATGAGCATGCGCTAGAAATTCCACCCAGGAAAATAGCATTAGCAGAAATAGACTGTGGTAGCAATCCTTTGGGTTTCTATAGACCCTGTTGCCCAAAGACATCTTAGATCATGTGCTTTCTGGTGATCTCTAAGTTCTCTTACAGGAGGTCCTATGCTGGGGCACAATCAAATTCTACCATAAAGTCAAAAACAACCCCCTTTTAATACCTTGGGTCAGTTGTCTATTTCTGTGATAAAAGTGTTCATCTAAAGGGAGGGTAAGAACATGGTTGGGAATGGGGTGGGAGCATATATTCAAAGTATATACTTGGATGAAACTGTCCTATGAAACCCAGTACTATTTCAATAAACATACAGCAATAAAAAGAAAAAAGCGTGCCTACCTTACCCGAGTTTTGTGGTTTTGTTGTTGCTGTTGCTGTCCTTGAAATGAAAGTAGAGCATAGTTAAATATCTTGTTACTATGAAAAGTTCAAAGTTAAATTCAGTGAATCGT